TTGCACACTGCGGATAATTCTTGCCTTTCAGCAGCCTGAACCCAAACTTCAAATGCAAATGGTCCTGGAGCTGGAAAGGGAAACCTGCATGCACTGAAAGGAGACAGTTTTTCACGTATTCAAATAAAAAGCTGACAAACAAAAATACATGAAAAAAAAAAAAGGGAAATCAAACCTTTTAGTCCTGGGGGAAGCAACTCTTAGGTCTCTATCTCTGTCATTCATCCCTCCTGTTTATCCACACTGCTCTTCAGGGACAGAGATACCCATCAGTTGTGTACATCTCCACCCACACAAATAGAGATCTTAATTGGCATGCCAGCACAGGGCTGAGCAACAGAGACTTTCTTTTCTTATGTGTCAGTAAAAGGCCTTTTACAAAGTACACAGACCATAATACCGGGGGCTTTTGGGATTTTACACACATGGCACTTGGAGGCAATTGACTTCAGGACTAAATAGTTGTGCTTCACACCAGAACACGGCCAGTGCAGAGGCGTGAGGGTGAATGCTGCTGGCCTTATGCCACCAGTCTGGGCTCTGTCCCCATAACAAGCCTGTTTTGCCAGGTGCCATGCTAACACAGAGCACAACAGGACCAGGACACTCCACAATCTGCTCAATAACTGTATTTCAGGCTGAAATTTCCACCCGTTTACCTTCCTCCTGGTGTGTGACATGAGCTTGCGCAACTGAAGGATTTACTGTTTCTCTGCTTGCTTTTCTGTGCAGCAGGAAAACCAGCTGAATTGTTTGAGTCAGGTTCAAAAGCTAAAATTTGAAAGCTGCATACTCCTTTACTCTTTGCATGAGGTAATTCCGACTCCACTCTGGCTTTGTAAAGCTAATTTAAATTATAGTGGTCTCTGTAACTTCACGGAGCTGTAAAATAAATAAATCTAATTGTATTTGGCTTAACTACCATGAATCTGCTTATTACTTTCGAAATGGTACAGTGGGGCTCATAGTTTTTATAAAATCTAAGCTACCAAATGATTATGAGGAGAAATTGAGACTGTGGCAATAGTAATTAAACACTTGTAAAAAATAATTATCTTCTCAGTGAGAAAAGTGCAATGCCTGTGTTCTATTTCCATCCCTTACTCCTGTCTCCTGTGATTGCTGGAGGGCATCTTAGATGTGTTTGCTCAGACTACTCAAGACCTTTAAAAAAGTTCTCATTTCCTAGAAAGCAATTAAAACCTCCCACACCCAACAAAAATATATGTAACATATGCAAATGCTATGAAAGTAGCATGTGGTTTACATAACAATTTATAACGCTGCTTGATACATCAGAGCCAAAACAGGCTGACGTGTTTTACACACTGAGTTGACCCCTCTGTGTCTGTGCTGGAACCACCACGCTCCCCCAGCGCAGGGGGGACCCCAGCTCCCCCCACGAGGCACACAACTTGGCTTCAGCATCGGCTGAGGATGGGTGGATAAATAGCATCACGTTTCCCATTAGTAAATGGCTTCCTAATTTCTACTGAGTCAACAGACTGTAATCAGGTATCAGCTACTGCTTCAGCTTTGCAGCAACATCACAGGGCAGCTCTTCACTAGGAAACCAACCAAAATTAAGCAGGGGGGGGAGCTGGGGATGGGGGATGGGGAGGGAGAAACAAGGTACTGCTTCATTTCCTTTTCTGCTCCGATTCCTCTAATAGAAATTCCACAAAGGCATGTTAACCTGAAGAGGAATTTCAGCAGCAAATCATCACAAAGAAGCTGTGAAAGCCCATTTAATACTTGCAGGTGGCATCTAGTCCAGGTGCTCTCAGGAGCTCATCATCTGACAAACAGATGCTTTACAACTGGAAAATCTAAAGGTGGAAAAACCAGTAAGGTCAGCTTAGTCCACCTCCTGCTTTGCCAGTGCAAGATAGGAATTTTTTTTTGCCTTTGCCCAATGTATTTGTCTAGTCTTTTTGTGCTTTTGTGCTGTGTTTTAAAATTTCCCAGTAACTCAAGAGACATCTTCTAAACTCCTAGGGAAATTAATATTTCACATCTCAGCAGTAAGAGGTTTCAAGTACTCACCCCTCCTCATTGGTTCTTGCTTACCTTATTTCACTGTTCTCTACTACAGCCCCTCCAAATCACTTTGATTACCTCCCCTTTGCATCTACCCAAGAATTTCTACATTTGAGCCTTGTCTTTGCTTTCACAAGTTATTCTAATGATTATTCATATGGTAGCACATCAGTATTCTTCTCTTTCACTGTGTTAGTAACGTGCTGACCCCAAAACCAATGCAGTATTTCATGCAAAATTACTGTATGAGAATTACTGCTCTCAGAGCAAGAGCTCTTATGCTCCCTACCATGCAATATTTGGTTGTGCACCCCAAAACTGCAGTGGCTTCTTTTTTTCCTCTCACTGCATCCCAATTACCTTGTTAACTCAGGTTTAGAATGTGTTTTCCCAAATCCTCTTTCCTTACCTCTATTTTACAGCCAGTTTGCACTCACCTTGGTTTTGATTGTTGTTGCTATATTTCTTTATATATTCCACTTATTGTTTGAAAGTCTTCCCACTTCAACAATGTATTTCAGTAATGGACTGTATTCATGACCCTTTTAGCCCGTTTCCAGGACTGTAAATACCGCTAAAACCTCTACGTGGCTATAAAAGCAACTGCACAGGTATCCATTGCTACTCATTGCTACATACCTTTCTTCCTATTTAGGCAAATCTGAATTTATTTTTCAAGCAAGATTTCATGAGAAAGCACACACAGACCTAGGAAAGGATGTTATCACAGATATGTATGTATTCATTCCTTTCAGCCACTCATTTTCAATTCTATTCCAGACCATTACTCTATAGCTTTGTAGTAGAGGCAGTCAGCTGAGAAGTGAGAGCCAAAGAGAGCCTAGCACATAGGCCTCCTATTGGATTTGGGAGAAAAATCACAGAGTTTATACAACCTCAGCAGTGATACTCAGATATCATCAGCTGCCGGGAACATGGACAGAAGCAGAACTCTGAGTAATTTGGTAGGTTGCAAGTTGAACACGAAGGCACACAATGAGCTGAGATGCTCCCAGAGTCAAGCGCACACAAGAAAACGTGTCTCTCCTTATTTGCTTCAAATATGCCCATGGTCTTTACTAGTCTGAGTCCAGTGAGAAGTGCTGTGAAACATGCATCCTCCTTCTGACTATATTTACATCAACACAAACACTGTTCCCGGCTTTTACTGGTGTTATTTGTTATGTAGTGTTGTAACAGATGCCAGGATGTGTCCCTTATGCAATGTGAGTATGAAAAATCCTTAAAATTTACACACAAGTTAGATTTAACAAGACAAAAGTTTCACTATATTGCATTTATTTACCTCTTACATTCCAGTTATCAATTACGTTTTCTTAAATAAAAACTGGCATCGGTACATATTTCTGTCACTTTCATTAATATCCTGCAATACATATCAGCCAGCTTGTTATTTTTATGTATAAAAATAAAGTAACCTTCCAACTCAGCAAAACACCTTCTCTTTTAAAGCCCTGATGCTCTACCATATCAGCCTGCATTACTATTAAATAAGGAGAGTGAGCGAACTACTCACTTTTGCCTCCAAATATTTTTTTCTGCGCTAACATATTTGTAAATTCCTTTATAATTACCCATTTCCTTTGTTAGCACGAAGTAATTAAACTAATCTACCCTCTGTAAACCACAGTTGACTCACAGTGTCCTTGGGTGTCATTGCATCTTTCTTCTTGATGTTTTTTCTTAACTTCAGATCTTCAAATCTACATCTGGAGCTTACTGTTTTCCACAGCAGTTGTCAGTCATCCTTCAGCTGTAGACTTTTTGGCTTGCACACTGATGAAATCGTGGTTCCTATGAGACCAGAATCCTTGTCCTATTCCACTCAAATTCATTCTTTACAGTGATTAATTTAAGTAGCGCTTGTGCACAATTTCCAATTTCTCCATCAGTAAGAAATACTATAATCAGAGCAGGGTTTTTTTCCTACAGGACAATAAAAACAGTCACGGTTTCTTACAGCACTCTGGATGTGGCCTTGCTGCCTCTATGGAAGACAAGAGGAAAGGTAAACTCCTTGCATCTTTCCTGCACACAGCATAAATCTGCTCTACACGCTTGTCCTCTTAGGAAAGAAAGACTTGGATCTTTGAATGCTGCCTCGCAGGCACCTTCTGTGCTGTGACACTGAACTGAATATTCAGTAGCTGTTATATTTTCTATAAAGGTGCTGGATTAATGGTTTCATTTTGACAGTATGTGTTAACTTGAGGTGCCCCCACAAACACACTAAAAGCATTGAGCATCTTAGTTCGACTGCCCCAAGTCCTCTCTGGGCAAAACAGAGCCATAAGTACCACAAGCCCCTCAAATATTTTTTTATATTCCAAAATGGAACTATACTAGGTTCCAGTATCTGCTCCTGGGACTGTCTGTATGTTTATCCAGCTTCTGCCTAATCAGAAATACAGAAATAGTCAATGATACATAAACAAAACATTGAAACTTCTGTGTTGGTATTGCTTTTCAGGTATTTGTAAATACTTCATTAGGTGCCATTTCATTAACCAGCAGTTAAAGTTCAGTTAGCATTAACTAAAATATTAAATTTCAGCACAAGTTGATGTCCAGTAATTCCTTTAAAATTGTTTCACAGCTGAGGAATCTTCACTTTTCTTAAAGCTGTCATCTTCTTGGCCAAATCCTATACTTATTCATGGATGTGGTAGCATATGAATTATGTTCACTACCCTTACTTTCATCTGTGTAAGTCAAAGTGTATGGTTTTGGTCCAACACCTCGCAAAGTTCCTGGTCTGACAGTATTTACTGTGATAATTTACAATTCTGTCAATTTCTGCACTTTGCAATTTAGCTACTGCGCTATCTATTCTGGTAGTGAAGTGTTTTCTCCTCTCTCCCAGATGAAAAATTGTAGTATAAACCTTGGCTACTGCAAGCAGCTGCAGAGAGTAAGCTGAATATTGTATTGGCCAGACATCCAATTGCAATATTTGGACTTTTATTCACATTTTGAGTTACTTCTGCAGTTTATACGCAACAAAAAAGTCAACAAACTTTAAAGACATTCAGTAAGAATACACAGATAGTATGCAGGCAGTAATGTCTAGACTAATCTCAATTTTCCATAATCGTTCCAAAAATAGAAGAAAATACTACATACTGAGAATTTCACACTCATAATTAAGATCTTGGTGCCATTTCAAAATCCATTTCAAATACTTCTTCTAGGCTGGATACATGCTTATACACACACTGAAGAGAAAGCTGCCACTGTGCCTTGCAAATACAAAAATGTGCCTGCATCTTAAACAAACAAAAAAATAATCTCTCTGCTTTCAGTCTTCATCTCCTTTTCAAAAGCTTTCTTCAAAATTTTGATCTGTTTTCAACCATTATTCCTGACCAAGCAGCCAGAGGTCAGTCTAAATGAGACTCCAACAGTTCTGCCACCGAGCGAGGCACCCACTCTCCCCTCTGCAATACGGGAGAAAAGAAAGCGACCTTATTTCTAAGGTGTTTCCACATCGACTCACGTCTAGGTATTGCCATAGTTACATATCACTTTCAGCACTGGGTAAACTAATCAAAACCAACATTTTCCCACTCTGTTTATTTCCAATTATAAGCCCGGGTGTCCATTCATCTGTCAGATTTAAAGCCTTCAAAAGGAGAAATAAAAGATAACTATGTTGTACCTAATTTCAGGGGAAAGTCATATATTGTTAACCAGGTGTGACCACATCTATTACAGGCCAGTGATTTTTACCTCAAGAAGTAGACAAATGGGTTGAAATTATTAAAAAAATGAAATAAAAAAGGACTAACAGAACAACAAATCAGTATAACATTTTTAAAACCATCCATCTCAAGTCAATCATAATTCAGTATCAATCCCCCGTATTGTAAAGGGGATATCTTTTAAAAGGATACCATTTAACTGGACTCTTCAGGTTCTGAACAAATCTATCACAAAACCATTATGGAATCTGACTGGGCATGGAATTAGAGAGTTAAAAGCAATACATGAGGAGCAAATCATGAGGATGGGCAGTTTTCAACTTGGCAAATATTAACAGTAGAGCACCCTATGGATTTGTACTGAAATAGTATTATTTTACAGATTCTTTCATCTGGAAAAAGAGACACATAGTCCACTGGCAGAATCTGTGGATAACGCAAATGATTAAAAATATTTCCAGGGCTAATGAAAATTGTGAGGAATACCAGAGGCAGAACAAAGAAAGATGAAGGTTGATGATTAATTCAAAATAATGAACTGCTCATAGACTCCAAAGTTTTCTAGGGCTGGCAGTCATAGGGAAAAGATTAATGAGGCATTATTCAGTGCATTCTGGTAAACAAAGCTGAAGTACTCCAACCAGACATGATGCTATAGGAATACTACACCATACAAAAGCTGGAGCAGTAGTCAAGAAATTATAACATGTAGTTTCAGAGAAGTTAAGGTTGAGAATATACGTATGTAGTCTTTGCTTAAAAAGACTTAATTATATCCATAAGGATATAGGGGTACTTCTATGTAGCTTTTGAATTTTGCTCTGATTATCTCATATAACATATATCCAGTGATAGGATATAGAATAAGATGAACATATATGGTGTAGTAGTCTGTAGTTTAGTTCCCACAATAGGGAAACATATTGCATTGTAATATCTGATCACTTATTTTGGTTCTGTAACTTGCTAGAGTGACTTCTCTGTAAGGCAACTTTTCCTGTCTGTAGAGGTGATTTTCACTGCAGAATGACATGCAAACACATGTTTTTAAAACACTGTTAAGTGCATTATTATAGAAACCTAGAAACACTTGATTTATAAAAAACCCATTTGCATAGCAATCCAAATTATTACTGTAAATTACTTAGGCTGTATTATATTCAGCCTAAGTGAATCACTCAGGTAAAACCTGTAGGATGAATCTTTTATAAAAACAAGGCCAATACTACTTAAGTTATTACAAAAATCCAACATTTTAATCTTGAAGACTTTTTAAACATTACTGAAATATGGTTGTGGGAAAACATGCTGCTTTTAGAAAGAAATTAGGCATATCAAAACAAACGCTTATCTTTTCCAATTACAAAGTTTGATTTCCCTTGTTCAGTTCCGCATTGCCAACATGGCATTTATGTCCCAAATGAGATTCCGTAACTGATCCATGATCTGCTTCAGCTGCTGATTCTTCTGTTTCAGTTTCTGTGGGAAGAGTTTATTAGAAGTTTTTTTGTGATCAGTTCAAATAGGACATTTGCAAATTCAGCAAAAGTCACAGCGTTATGAAATGCTATATGGTTCTTTTTCTCTGTTGTCTGTGAGCAGTGTAACTGAGATAATACATCCCCTTTAAAGCACACTCTAAAAATACAAGAAAGCATCAAAAGTTAAGGACCATCACTAGAAGGGGAACACCGTTTCTTTTCATAGCAGTCCTTTTATCAAAATACTTGATCCCTTCAAAAATTGGAGGCTTGTGGGGATTGGTCCTCTCTTACCGAAGTCCAAAAGATAGTACTTCATGTAGGAAGAAAGAATTGGCAATTTGACTCAAAAGAGTTCAGGGAACAGGTAAATTTATGTGACTATATGTTGTATAACTTGAGTGCACAGAAAAATGAGGGATTAACAGTAGAAGTTTGAACAAAGCACAAGGAACAGGTGAAGCCAAACTAGCTTTTCCAGCCCTTCTGCTTATGTAGGTGAACCCTCATGTGCTACTCGGTCCTGGTTTTTATTCCTAAGCGTGCTGAGCTCCTAAAAATTGTGTATTTGTTTTTGTGAGCTGCAGATGCATTTGAAGGAACAGAAGAGCAGCAAACTTGCTTTTATGTGGCTGCATATCCAGAACTTGAAAATTATGTCTTTACAGAAGAAAGATCAGCGCATTAAGACACTGCCCAATCTCCCTAACATTTCATGTCTCACTAAGACACATGTTTATTGCCTGATTTATTAATATTCCTGCTCAAATCAAAGCTGTCAAGAACTAAGTTACTGTGTATTGTCCAGAGTTCCAAGTAAAGTGAAAGCACAGGAAAGACTTGCTACCAGCAGAAGAGGACAAACTGTCCAAATGTTTCAGCTTTGACTTTTCATTTGCAGTACATAAATGGCAATACAGTAAGAGGATAACTCAGATCAGTAATATGACCAAAGTAACTGGAACAATGACAAAAAGAAGCAACAAAAGAAGCAATATCCTGAAAATTAGTCTCCTGAATTTTGATTCTGACAGCATACCAATATTTTTAAGTTGTCCAGCTGGTCAGCTGGGAAAGAATTCCAGATGAAGAAAGGAATTTTATTCACTCCAGACCTGCAAAAATGGTCTGAAAGTAAAGGAAATATTCCTGAACACAGACTTTGGTGGACAAATTCCCTGGAAGCAGATACAACACTCAACTCCAGACTCCTGAGAAGCATGTAAAAACAGATGTAGGACAGTTCATGTGCACTGATTTGGAATTTCCAATCAAGCATTTTACAGACTAGAAAGTATTTTAAAAGTAACTTTTAAAAGTTATCTAATGCTGCTTTCTTTTCATTTTGCTAATCTATGCCTTCACAATATACAGCGGAGATTCAAGTCATAAAGACAACAGAGAAAACTGAGAAGCACGAAGTTACTTCACAACATCCAAATAACAGAATTGCCAAGTACCTCCCTACAAAACCTCATAATATACGATCTTGATGCTTGAGAAAGCACAAGAGGGATGAGATACACAAACACATTCGTACCTGTGGCATTTTTTAACATATTTTTGTTTGCCATTCTCAGCATTCAATCTTAGAGATTGAATGTTACATCAAAACTACTAGTTTAATGCAAGCTGTCACTCACTGAGACTGAGAGCATGCCATTGCACAATTTTTGAAAGCCTTCACCATTAGAAACAAAGGCCAAACAGTCAGGGATGGTTACTCAAGTCACATATAGGAAGAACCATTAACCTCTGATGTGCAGATTGTGTTCTCTCTCCATCCACTTCTAACTGCACTGTTGAATACTGTTAAGTAGATATGCTCACATGAACTTTACAGAAGTTACACCCAAAAGACTCATTCTGTAAGACTGTTTTATTTCTTGTGCCAGTGTTATGAAACCGTAAATTGCTTGATCTTTACGTGATGCTAGACAAGAGAACCTTCAAATTGGGTTTCATTTCTTTTCAAAGCATCTGTAAAGATAAGTACACAATTGTTACTTTATTTATCTGAAGATAATTTTAGATCCTTGTCTTCAGTGAAGAGCTATTTTCTTCACTCTTCTACTTTTTCCAGAGACAGAAAAAGACATCTAAGACGAAGCACTATCTCTGGACTGCTCGCTTGAAAAGAGAATGAAGAGAGGGGAAAAAATCCACTTCAGAGAGCACGGTCTCCTAATTGAAATGCATATAGTGATCTTTGTTACTGATCTTTGACAGGCAGTGGTCCACGCCACAAAGTACTACATAATTAGTATGTTCTGCACCACTGGCAATGCTGGCCTCTGCTGAGCCAGTGAGAACATTTCAACTCAGGTCTAACCTTGGAAAGAGGTGAAATGGCCTTCTCAGGAAACGGGCAAGTTCTGTAAGCAGCTTCTGCAGCAATGACAAATTTTCGTTTGAACAGATTGCTTGCAAGTTGTCTCCCACTCTTTCCTCCTTCTACTGAAATGACTTAGTTGAACTCTGGACTGCTTCTCAGGATGAACAGTTGCACGAAACAAGAAAAGGTACTTCATCCTACATACATGCTACAGCTTCTGACTTCAGCTGCCTTAAGGTAGCACACGAAAATTAACTTATATGAAGCAGTTTATAATGAGTTTAAGAGATCTAAATTCACCTTTTATCTGCCAGGCATGGTTCTCCTAGTCCCTCTCTGTCAGAAAAGTGATGTTACTGGACAACAGTCCTAAGGGATCTTCTGTGGTGATATTAATTTTCAATGTGATTAAACATCCATTTTGACTGACACTGCAAATCCTATGACCAGCATGATGGAGCTGGCAAGGACTGCACCTTCCAGTAACCAACAAGACCTTAGTAGGCTTAGGTCAGGTAGGACACTTGCCAAAACATGTACAGAAGCACAGTATGTGGGAGAACCATAACATACATCCAGAAAATAGCTGTATTTCAAGGAATATGCCATAAGGACTTGACATCTTTCGTACAGATTTGGGCTCAGTAGGACACAGTAATTTCAACTTTGACTGAAATCAATTTTTGGCTTAAACTCATTTTTGGTTCACTTTGTTTTCATTTGAAATCAGCGCTGTCTAGACCAACGCACAACCTTCTATCAAGAGATGTATCAGAACTTTCCTTTGCACACTGTTCCTGTCTCTCTCCTCATCTTAACCTCATCTGTCTTTCACATTTGAAAAACTAAACATCACTATGAATCATTATTCTGCACTCAAGCCCTTTGCTAGAAGTCCCTTCTTCAGGCAAAGATAATAGTGTAAATGTTGTGGAAGAGTAGGACTATATTTCAATTGATGCCTGTAAAAAAATCATAAGTACTTGCCTATGTTGTACAGCACTTCTTCTGCTTAAAAAACCCCCAACCATTTCCATCTTGAAAATATTATATAAAAAAACCATTCTCCTGAATGCTGTGCCAGTTATAGTTTTTACCGGCTCTGTTCAAGACCTGCAAGAGTACAGGCCAGAAGTACATATAAGCTTAATAAAGCATTAAATATTAATAACAGTAGTACCTTTATTTGTATATATTTCACCAGAATTATATCAATTATGTTTACTTTGTTGATTATGACTCTACTACAGAGAGAATTTGCATCACCTTCTTTTTCATGTGTGTGTTACACCTCTTGTCCATTAAACTGATGTAGGAAGTGATTGTTCAAAGTCTTATGAAGGTGACGATGGCCTCTGCTTTTCCATGTAAGTCAAATGCAAGAAATCTCTACAGAAACACAATGTTTGTGATAGGCAAGAAAAAGTACAGCATGCCCTGGCAATTTATACTGGGTTTTTTTTAAGTCAGTCCTTCATAATGAAATCTCTGAAGTAAGGAGGTGCAAAAACCTTCTCTCCTCCCACCTTTCACTTTTATAGTCGAAAGATTTACAATGTTATATGCACACAGCAGTAAAAAAAAAGTTAGAAAAAAATGCCCTTTGCTCAAACTTTGCTCAAACTCTCTTAAAGCTGCCAGGTGATGTTCTAACTTACGGCTTCTCAGTTGATACCAAGGTCCACTTTCCATCATAATAAATTCACATATCCATCTATTTATGGTATTTTTTTCACGTGGATGAAAAGTATTCATCACTAATACGCTAACTGCTGTGCAAATAAACATTAACACACTTGTTGTTCAAAAACTAAAGCTTTTCCTGATGTCATTCACAGGCATAACTCTTCTATTCTTACTAGAAATGAAAGACTGGATTTTCTGCCTCCCTCCTCACCTCACAGGTGAAAGGAAAACTGCTCCTTCTGCGTATGTGTAACTCTCCTGCCTGAAACAAGCAGAGGCAGCAGTGGCAGCCTGTGTCCCACTGCATGCACCATACTTTTCACACACTGAACCAGTCAGCAATTGCACGTATCCACTGCTCTGTTGTTCAAAGAGGCACAAGTGTGTTCATTAAAATAGGTGGATGTTTGCTTCATACCAATTATTTATCATCCAGTGATGAAGTCTGAGGTCTTATTTACTGAGTACCCTCTAAGCTACGTAGCTTGTAATAGAATTATCCATTCCCCAAGGCGCTTCTCCATCACACTCTTCAGTGTCACATCCCCATTTTTAACAGGAAGATCACACAGATGTATGATTCTCAGTTACAGATGGGAAACTAAATCACAGGAAAACTATGGATAAAACTGGAGTGCCTACTGACTTTGTCCAGAGACGTCTAAGATGCAAGTCCATCACTAAATTTTGTCTTTTAACAGGTTCCCACATTCTCAAAGGACAGCTATCACCAACTGTAAGGGAAAGAATGAACAACTACCACAGACAATTTGTGACAGAGACAAGGATAAAATTCCAGTTCTAAGAGCAGCTGTAAGTTACTTACTCACTACTCACATTAAATCCTTTGTTCTCATTCCCAAATTCCCTGCTTATTCAATACCCTCATGCAAGTTACACAACACATAAACCAGGATTTTTATAATCTTATTTACCACAGTACTGATTCAATCTAAATAGTGTCTAGTCTGCAAAAG